GTATACGTACTCCCGAATCTTAAAATTGAGATCATAAAGGATCCAATTTTGAGATCTGCACCCGTATCGGACACCGGTACACGAGTCTAGTCTGAGCAGCTAAGATCCTTTCATTCTTTGTGTGCTTTGGGGGTGTTTGGGCCAATTCAACAGTGTGTGTCTACTATTATTGAGTTTCTTCGTTTTGTAAAAGATTGCTTACTGTACTGACATGATGTGGTTTCTACGTCCCAACAGGCAAGATTCATGGAAACTGCTGTTGCTTACAAAAAGAAGATTGGCTTCAATGGTATTTCCAACTTGTCCTCTTCTAATATTGTTGATTTTACTTTTCTACGGTGGAGTTTAAAACAACAGTTTAGATAAAAGTATGAAACTAACTGATTTGACATCTTGTAGGTTGTAGCCCATCATTCTTATTAGTTTGTAAATTACCCTCACTTTTGTTTTTCAATTTGATTCCAGGAACATTACTAATTGAACCAAAGCCTCAGGAGCCAACAAAACACCAGTATGTTTACTTTACATGATGCATCTTTGGAATACGATCTCCTAAACTTTTGCCTAAATTACTTATTATATCACTCTAGGTATGACTGGGATGCTGCAACATCTGCTAATTTCTTACGCAAATATGGACTTATAGGTACTTAATTCATTTGCTATTTCCTTCATAAGTGCATTCTCCAAAGAAGTAGCCGAGGAGCTTTGTTATTATGTGCATTTTAAGAGGGAAATTCTTATGTTTTTGTTTTGCATTTTCTGCAGGAGAGTTCAAATTAAACATAGAGTGCAACCATGCCACTTTGGCTGGTCATAGGTTTGTGCTTTTAATCTTTTAATAGCTCCCATTTTCATTTCAGTCTTATAAAAAAGCTGCTGGTCTGGTTGGATTTGATCTTTTTAAGTATGTCGTTACTGTTTTGCAGTTGTCATCATGAGCTTGAAACAGCAAGAATTAATGGTTTGCTTGGTAACATTGACGCAAATACTGGCGATCCCCAAGTCGGTATGTTTACATGAATATATGAGAATGCTTTTATTAAACATGTTAATGTATTCCCTTGTGGTTGCTGTAAATACCGCGAGACTTCGAGTTATAAAAGCTTCCCCCTGATGCAGGTTGGGACACAGATCAATTTTTGATGGATGTCGCTGAAGCAACACTAGTGATGCAAACCGTTATTAAAAATGTCAGTGCTTATACATTTTTTTTTTAACTACTAGAAAACTTAAAAGTTTAAATCAGTTGAAAATTCGTATTTCTTATTGTTTAACTGCTCATCTTTTTGTTTTGAACAGGGAGGATTGGCACCAGGAGGATTCAACTTTGATGCAAAACTGTTAGTTTCCTACTACTATTACTTTTTGTTTTACGGTTTGGATTTTATTATTTCCAAGGACAATATATCCGGTGTTATCCGTCATATCAGAAAATTATAGAGTTTTTATTGGAGATGATGTTTTCTATTCGTCCTAATAGGCGGAGGGAGAGCACTGATGTTGAAGACCTATTTATTGCTCACATTGCCGGTATGGACACTTTGGCCCGTGGCCTAAGAAATGCTGCCAAGCTAATTGAGGTGATATTCCTTTCTCAACTACTTCAATAGGTCAATCAACTAATATATCAAAACAATCATGCAATAATGTATCTAAGCTTTTCTTTTTGTTTACTAACAGGATGGCTCCTTGAGTGAGCTTGTTAAAAAGAGATATCAGAGTTTTGACACAGAGCTTGGTGCTGCAATTGAGGTATTGTTTTACTCTCACTTTTTTATTTTCTATTTGTTTCCCGTATTTCATTCTCTAACGCTTGCGAGCAACGTGTTATCCAACACAGGCTGGGAAGGCTGACTTTGAACTGCTCGAGAAGAAGGCGTTAGAATGGGGAGAACCTAAAGTTCCTTCTGGAAAGCAGGTAAGACCATTTTTAGCATATGGAAATCATACTTTGTGGCTATATCGTTGATTTTATATTGACATTTTGAAGACAATGGTAATGCTTACAATGTTGATGATGTTTTGGTCATAATTATCTGCAAATACTGAAATTCAGTATTTGAAATTCTGGCGAAATCTTGAACAACTTATTTGAGTAGTATTTCAAGTAAAATAATGCTTTTTCACTCGCAGAACGTCAACGCTTTTTCAAGTGAAATTAATATCCAAACACAACAACTTTCAAATATGCTTTTGAAATTTTAACATTACATGCTTTTTCTTTTTAAACTTCAACCTAATGTTATCCGAACGTCTACGTATTGTTATTCATGAGTTGATATTCGCCATGTATCGAATGATTGACCATTTCTCTTTTAGGCTAACTTTCGAGTATATTTTTCACAATAGAATGCAATTACTAGCTTGAGTTTGTCAGTTTGATTTTATTTAAAATGTTGCAGGAACTTGCGGAGATGATTTTTCAGTCAGCATTGTAGAAAGCAGAGTTTAATATTTAGCATGGTAGTAAATAATCAGAGTAGAATGGAAAAAATGAGAAATAAAAAGGAATGGCCAAGTGTAGCACCTTGGATATTTAGTAGCTTGAGTTTTTACTTTTTCACAGTGTAATTACTAACTGTGGTTTTTCAGTTAATTTTATGGAACTGATTATGCAGAAAGTTGAATATTTACCTTGTTATACTTTCATTATGTTTTTTTTGTCTGTGCTAGTCCGCGCGTTCGGATAATATTTGAGTTGCACCTGAAAAAATTATATTCCAACTGCAGTTGTATTTGGACATAAATTTCAGTTGGAAGAAAAAAAGGTTTGTAAGTTGAAGATTTGAGGGTGGAAATACAATTTTTACTGGAACTACTGTTTTAATATTATACGTGAAGAAGGTTATAGGTTCGAGTCGTGAAAACCTCCTCTTGTAGAAATACAGGGTAAGGCTGCATATGATAGACCTTTGTGGTCCGACTTTTTTTCGGATCTTATTTATAATGGGAGCTTAGTGCATTGGACTGCTCTTTTTTAAGTTCAATTACTAAAGTATAGTGTTTGTAAATATAAATGGTCAAATTAGTAACTGCAAATAAAATACTGAAATATTGTTTTGTGGTCACATATTAGTTACCTGTGAAAGAGTCTTAATCTTAAGTTATACTTCCCTCCTAGGAAGCTGTATGTATGTTGATTAGACTCATTGTTGATAATATGTAATACTCCACTATTTAGGGTAATGAAAAGGCTTGTTTTCTCTATGTTAAACAGTAATAAGTCATAGGATTGGATTTAATGACACTTTTTTGTGAAGAGCTATCATTATTAAGACTTGACTTTTTTTGTGAAAAATGGTTCACTAATCATGCAATATTAGGTGACTATATTATATAGGGGATTAGTAAAAGAGGATCTTTGGAGCAATCGATGTCACGGGTTAGAGCTGTGGTAACATCTACTAATACTTGCATTAAGGTAGACTGTCTGCATAACATCCTTGGGGTATGGCCTTTCCCCTGACCCTACATGAACGCGGGATACCTTGTACAATGAACTGTTCTTTTTTATTTATTTAGGGGATTACTAAGGAACCTACCCAATCCCACGACACGCCCATCTAAAGTGTGTATCGTCAAGCTCTGGGAATATAGAAACTCTTGGTAAGGAGCGTTTCTCCTTTAATGAGTCTTATACAACGCAAATCTAAGTTAGTCTATGGTTAATAGGAGCAGTAAAAGATCAAACCCCACCCCACTCGGCAGGGCATTCATTATTATTGCTTCATATTCTGATCTCTGACTCAAATTTGAAATATCGAGTGCATAACTCATATAACTTAAACCAAATTTAGACATAAATTATAAAAGTTCCATGTATTACTATAACTAGTATTACGAATCAATTACATCCAACACTACCTTTGGTGGCGACTTTCTGAGTCGCCACATATAAAGGCAACATACAAAACTCCTTTCGGTGGCGACTTTCTAAGGCCGCATCTGATAAAGGCGACATACTAAACTACTTTTGGTGGCGTTAATTTGGATCGCCACTGAAAAAGCGACGGTCAGCAGTACCTTTTAGTGGCGCTAATTTGGGTCGCCACTGAAAATGGCGACGTACAATAGATCGTTTGGTGGCTAAAAGGGCAATAGGACTTTTGGTGGCTACTTTTTAGTTCGCCACGAAAATAGAAACATACAATGCTACTTTAAGTGGAGAAAGTCAAAACCTTATTTGTAGTTTTAGGCAAAAGCATTGGTGTAAAGCTTCTTTCTGCTCAGCTATATATGTCATGTTAATTCATTGACGTATAGGACTTAACGAATAAAAAAATCAAGCAAGTGTGAAGCTTCTAATTTCACACTGCCTAGAGTTTCTATGTGATCTCACTTTTGATTTTTATTTGAAAATGTTGTGGCGACGGAAAGATACAATCTGTTGTGGCGACTTTTCGGGTCACCAGTGAAAATAGCGACACACAAGTATTACTTTAGTGGCGACTATCAAAAGGCGCCAATGAAAATGGCGACATAAAATAGGCATACAAATATTATCTTTTGTGGCGACTCTTTGGGGTCGCCACTGAAAACGGAAGCATACAATTATAATTGCATTACACATTCTCCAATTTGATTTGTTTTTATGTTATCCAATCTTCTATGATTGCATATTTGTGTTAACACCCGCATTTTCATGTAACTCATCTTGTGAATATATTAGACTTTAGAGACTATTATTTACTCCTCTATAACATTAACCATTCTTTAGAACACTACCCATTTCAATCATACCATTCTCCAAGAATAACGAGCATAAATATCTAAATTGTTTACATTTTCCGTTCGATCTCACTCTTTCTTATGCAAACTAAACTCACAGTGCATAGTCTATATCACTTTTATTTATCTTAAAACCCTTATTCTCTGGAACTTGCAAGTGTATACGACAAACACAGCCAATTGCAACAAACTAGGATAGAAACGTGATTGTTGTTGCTGTATAATACCACAAGAATAATGTTGAAATCAAGACAAACGTACGAAAACAGGAAACAAAAACGAAAAGAGAGTTAAAAGCAAAACAATCTGATATCTCTTTGCAACAAATACATCTCTTTTCAAGAGAAACTGAATAGCTGTAATCTATGAAGAGAGGCAAAATAAAACATCATATTCTCATTATCTGTGATAAGTATTAACACTATATCAGAGCAGTTCACTTCAGAAACTATGACAATTAGAAAATTATCGGAGGCCGATATCTCTTCACATTATACCAAGTTCGCGTTTGTATGTCTTCAAATTTATCTGCATCTTCACCAAAATTTAGCTACCTCCGGATTTGAGTGTATTACTCAACCTACAATTTTAGAAGAATCGAGTAAGTAGGCATGAGGATAGTAGGTATATTGTGTGTGCATGAATATGAGTGTTTGTGTTCGTGTTTTCAACTCATGAAGACATTTCACAAGGAACTATAAATCCGATATGTACAACTGCAAAGCCAAAGAAGAGAAGGTGATCCAGAAAAACGTTTTGCGTAGGCTTGGATCCTGTCGTCCACTGCAAGTTTGACATATATCACTTTGTTTGCCGATCTTAGCTTATCAATTAATCTTCTCTTTTAAAGAAGGCAGCTGATGACAAATGGAAATGCTGGATACTAAATTTCTCGTAAAGCCTACCTACAAATGGTGAGAGCAAATAAACCACGTGCACTATAACGTGGACTGGACATAACAAATAAAAACTGCCAGTGGTACGAACAAGGTAGGGGGTAAGGTCTGCATACACACTACCCTCCCTAGACCCCACGGTGTGGGATAATAGTGGGTATGTTGTTGGTACAAACAAACCAGTGTTCCGATTAATATTGGTTACATTCGTGCTATTATAACTACCATAACAGCATCAACAAGATTGAATTAGGAATATGCACTCACCAGTCCAAACCCTCAAAAAGACCCTCTCCTTTGATGGCAGAAGTCTTAAAAATAGCCCACTGCCTATTTTTAATCTTGTGCAACTCTAAGGCCTCAGTCACTGCAGCATCATCAAGTGCACCAGGAAGATCCTGTCAATAATAAAAGACTCTGAATAGCGAATGGATACATAATCTGACCAAGCCGCTAAATATCAGTCAGGATGTTAGCTGGTGTCTGTGTGCGTAAGAGAGAGAGAGAGAGAATGCAAGAGGGGGGCAAAGAAAGAACAACGATAACTGTACTTCAACCCCAAACTAGTTGGAGCCAGTTATATGAATCCCCTATTTTCAAATGCGCTCTATTTGATACTAAATACTAACGCAAACCTACAGCTTTGTAATGAAAATAACACTGCATTTACTCCAGGATCAAATGAATCAAAGCTTCTTCCTCAACTAAGTGGAAAAAGAGAAGCGAGGACACAAACCTGCTTGTTAGCATATACGAGGACAACAGCACCTTTTAACTCTTCCTCCTGGAAAAGGAAATACACATCATCAATGGTCATACTCACAAGTAACACACATCGTAAATGCCCTCACAAGTCAATAAATGGTTGGAATCAAAAAGCTCAACTAGAAATTAGAAGATGCAAAAGAAAAAAAAATGTTTGATGGCTCAGATGGCTTCCTGGAAGTATAGATCTGTGTTTCTATAATTTTTTGTAGCTCTTCCTAAAAGTTGCACCTCTGATACCCTCAAAAATGCAATTCTGCCGCTGATAGAGATTATTCCCCACTCGCTACAAAATGGCTTATTTACTGTGCAAAATTTACAGAATGAAAAAGTTAAAGCAAAAGCACGTATTGGAGCAACCTTTCCGCTTTCAAGTCCTTTGCAAAGTTCCTCCGCGAAGCTTTTGAATTGGAGGACACATGCCACTTTCAGGTTGCAGACTTACGATAACTAAAAAAACATTCTAAGATATTTGAACTTTCATCATTCAGTCTCAAACAAGTTGGCGTCGGTTATATAATCAGTTACCATGTTTCTCCATTTAAACTCATTTCAGGCCAATATTTTATAAAATAAAAATAAAAAGTACTAGAAATTCTCTATATTTTCTAATGGAATATAAATCTAAAATCTCTAACAAGGCTAAACTCCTAGAAAGCATGGACCTGAAGTAAACGTACTAACATGACTAAAACAAATTCCTAAATTATTGGTGTCACCTATATAGATCGTTTTCTTCCATTGTGTCCTATTTTTGCTAAGTCTACATGGATTCAGAGAGATTGCAAAATTTATATGAGATTTTAGGTCCACCTCGTCCCCTGTCTTTGAAAGAGCACTCAAAGAAATTATTGTCAATCAACTTGCACCGCAGAAAAGAATCTACTGCCAATCAACTTTTAGAAGAAGTCCTATTGAGAGAAAAAGTAGCAGAAGACCTCTTTAGCGCCCGATCAGATTTTGCAAGCTCGATCAAATACCAAGTTCCGGAAGAACTGATTTGAGAACCTAAAAAAGCCCTCTAACGCTGAGACTTCCCGGAGCGGAGCTTTACTCAATACTAACCCAGTTTCTTTTGATAAATTCGAAGAAATTCATTTACACGCACCAAGATAATGCTCAGAAATGGCAAGTATTTAGCATTGCTCTTCCAAAAAATTATACATCCAAACTATCTAAAGAGGAAGAGATGTTCTTTTTATACTGGGAGTATAACTGAAAGCACGAGGAATATTTGATCCCCCACGGAGGTTTTCCAACTGCATTAGACACCTTTCTATTTCTTTTCCCCCATATCATCCAAAAAGTTCATGTCGAGTTCCCCTCCTATATTTCCCTATCATACTCAATTTCTATATCACTAGGGTTTCCTCCATTTCTGGGGAGTAACTAAAATATGTCGACAACCAAATAACACCAAACTCCATAAGTCCTATGTGAATTTGCAATGAAGAAGCAAATACCTATGTACTCTCTCTTAGTTTTGCACATATAACACCATTATAAAGCTACTTTTTAGGAACTTCGTCTTCAACATACACTTGAACAATGGTTTCTCACCTCTGATATTATTCAGAGAAAAGAGACTTGCACCTGGACCTCCCCATAATATGCTATCACTGCCTCCTAAATAACACTAGAAATTTTCTTAGATGTTCCTGAATTGGTTTTCTGAAAGAAGAAAAGTTCACTTGTGCATCTCTCCAGAATAAGCCTGACACCATCTCCTCCTCTGTTTTTGGCAATTGAGTAACTAAGTGGGAGGCCTCCTTTAAGGTTTACTCCTCCAACCACATATCTAACAATAAAACATTTTGCAAATACGTTTTCTCTACCAAAAAGCTAATGTATTTCAAGAAATCACTCTTTTTGAGAAGGTGATAAATTTAATTGATCCAGTTAAGCATGTGCTGTAAAAGATATTTACAAAAAGAATAAAAAATGTATGTCCCTATCCCATTAAAGTGAAAATTTTCTTATATATACTCCCTCCGTTTCAATTTATGTGAACCTATTTCCTTTTTAGTCCGTGCCAAAAAGAATGACCACTTTCCCTATTTGGAAACAATTTACCTTTATGCAATACTTTATAGCCACACAAAATATATGTACCTCATTTTACAACACAAGTTTAAAAATCTTCTCTCTTTTCTTAAACTCCGTGCCGAGTCAATGGGTTCACATAAATTGAAACGGAGGGAGTATTATTTTTGTTGAGTTCTTTTTTATTTAGTTATTTTATTACAAGGTTCATTTTGGTATTCTTTTAAAATTGCGCTTTACTTCAATGAAGTGTGCGCTTCACTTATCCCTTCCTGCTTAAAGGTGGTGGATCGCTTTGTTGCGCTTCTCGCTTTTAACAACACAAGTCCGACGTTTCTAAACATCTTCAGGTTCCATCTTTTCAACTTCTCAACGTATTCAACTTTTATAAGTGCTATTCAATTTATGAGAAACGCAACGTCAGGAAGCTTTTGAGAAGCTTTGAATATTCAAATAAATTCTTTACATTCAAACAAATCTAATAGTATTATTTTCGATCCATGGTTATGATATTATCGGCAAATCTCTCTTTTTGCATTTCATGCTCAATGCAGCTTTGTGTTTGGGAATTATCTACTAGATCTTTGATTCATTACAAAACATTGTTTGAAAAAAAGTACAAAAGGAAGCATAGCGTTTCTTCGATTGCTTCTGTTTATTGCGGGGATGAGACTATGTATTTCGTACATTTTACTGTTTTAGCTTATTCTTCGGCTTAACTTTCTGCTTTTTAAGTTTTACAAGTTTTAAATATCTTAAAGTCAGTTCTTGGGGTATTATTGTGTGTTTCAGAATTCCTTCACTTAACAGGAAAACATTGAAAAGGACAGATGTAGCTCTTTTACAATACTAGCTGGTGTTCTGGTAAATCAAGTTTGTTTAGCTGTTATTAGAATACCAACATAAAAAGATATGGCATACTTAGCATCAAATGGTCACAATAGAACCTAATAAATTCACCAAGCAAAATATACATAAGAGCAGCGAGGAAAAGGTACCTCCAATATGGCATGGAACTCCTCTTTAGCAACCACGAGCCTATCAGTGTCACTTGAGTCAACAACGTAGATTATAGCTTGTGTATTAGGAAAATAGCATCTCCAGTATGGCCTAAGCAGCAAAAGAACCCATGAAAGGACCTTTCAAAATTTGACAAAATCACGAAATGGGAGATGAGATATACATTACGATGGCAATCAAAAGAACAGACATAGTAGGTACATAGGATCAAAAGAAGACTAGATAAACATTATGAGGCTTAAACATGCAACAAAGAGCGATTTACGAGAACCTACTGCACATATGGACCTTGTATGTCTAAAAGCCATTTAAATAGATCCGTTTTTGAGGCACTAAATCATTTAAGTTACCTCCCCTCCCTCTCCCCCTCCCCCTCCAACAAATCTCACAGAAGAAAAGGCAGGTTGGACTTGGCTTTTACTCACGCCTGAAGACATGTCAAGGTAACATAAAAAGTATGCCAAACGTGATTATCCAATTTAATATCCTAGCTTATAGCCTACAACCTGGGATTCTGACACATATTGTTCCTGTTTAGATGGACAAGCGTCTATAAATTTCCAGCAGTATGTCAATGAAAAGTAGTAGAGATTTGTGCAAAAGGTAGGGATAAAAGCATAAGCTAGCTTTGCCCTCTCAAGATTCATGAATATCAGTAGTACAACCCAAATATATAGAAACCTTCAGATGATTGTATTCAGTTGTTATCTGATTTGCCAAAGAAAAGCCCATAGATGGACCAAAGAGATCTCTTTCCCTGGTTTCCTGTCTAAACTAACAAGCAGAGACAAGATATTTTGTGGTTCTCAAAACAAAAAAATCTTTTTTCCTCAATCGATACAGTCAAGGCACTGAGACAGGATCTTCAAGGTAAAAATTATTGCATAAAGAACTCTACTGAAGCTTCTCCTAGTATGTGTAAAGGCCAAACCACTGTATAATTTTAATGCAGATCAGGAAATATACTGCATCTATATAGAACAAATCAAGTCTTGAATACATAGAACTTCAATTTTCAGCCTCATAATCCCAATTTAACTTGTTATTTGATATCTTCAGTGATGAGCCAAATCCTAGATTCCATGGAAAGAAAGAAATAATTCCCTTCACTCTAATTTTGCAATCACTCCTATATCCAGTTTTTATATATTATAATCCATCGAATCTCATCAGAGCATGGAAACTTGGAAGGTAAAGAAGTGAACCACTTATGACATTGGCCATCAAGTAAAGCACTGTAGAGATTAACTAGATGCACGCAGTATGATGATTATTTGTAAAAGAGATCAGCAGCAGACTGCATTAATCACCTCAAATACAAAAGAGATGAAGGATAGACTGATGGGCAAGACGAGTACATTAATCAATGAAGTTAACATCCACCATGCACATTAGTAGATTTTAAGATAGATATAACGAATAAAAGATATATATATTTCTTTTTAGTATAAAGTTTTGGAGCCAATTAGATGTTACCTGATACTAGTCTGACCCCCTGGATTATCATAAAAAAGAAAAAAAACATTATTAGAAGAAAGCAATATTCTTGATTCTAGATAGAGATGAAAACAAATAAAAAAGATGATATGCACAAGAAATCAACAAAGAAAATCTATCAAAAAACATCGAAACGAGTAAAGCAATAATTTTAAAGAAGAAAGGAAACAAGATGAGAGGAAATGAGAATGAGTCCTAAACCATGGTCTTTGGTATGAACAATCAGAGAAACTTGCATTATTACACTTCATTTTTTATTATGATGCCAAGGTTTACTTTAGCATTCTCTAAATGAGGTCTAACATCCCACTTTCGCTGCTTGCCTTTGAGCAGAAACAAAATTTTAGTTTTTATTTTCCATCACATTTTCCTTCACTTTCCCTGCCTAAAGCTCATCCAACCTCAACAAAGGCTTTCTATCACTTTCTAACCTTTCTATATGTTACTCTTAGTCGAAACTTACGATGAAATAGAAAAAGAAACTATTTTTTATAACTGCAGTGTCCAGGCCAACTTGGGCGCATCTCGATAGTTCCACGTGGTACCTGCTACCTCCCATCATCATAGGTACCGGGTAACTCTGTCCACCAAAGCTTGGAAATATGGGAAGAAATCACCTAATATTTTTGCCTCCATTGGGATTTGAACCTGAAACCTCATGGTTATCAATCCACTTCATCGACTAGTGGGCCACACACTTGAGTGCGATATAAAAAAAACACACTTGATGAGAAAAGCGTAAACCACACACTTGATGAGAAAAGCGTAAACCACACACTTGATGAGAAAAGTGTAAACCACTTGAGAATGTAGCTAAAGGAATCAGGTACTTCTTAAATTAAACTAGTTGAATAGTGAACTTGTTCAATGACCATCATCAGAAACTCTTGCAGTAAAACGAGCTAATAATTGATGATATAAAGACATGGAATATTCAAACACCGCATGAAACTGCACATGCTTTTAAGCAGCAAGCGGTGATATCACATGCTGAGAATTGCGTCTTGAGATAAATCCAAGACTGAGAATCTTTTTCCAGAGGTCAGGTTAGCCACATAGATAGTTTTATGCAAAGTGTTCTTAGAATCTTGAGTATTAAGTTTTCATTCCAACTTGTTTTTACACTCCCTTTTTGTCCAACACAATTTTTAGTGTAAAAAGACAATGACAGAGAAACCTCATTCCACTATATCTTGGGATCTTATATCCTGCCTAAAACCCAACGCAAAAAGTGAACATTTCGAGACTGACAGAGATATCAAATATAAAATTAAAAACACTCCTTCTCATAGTTCACTTCTATTAAAGAGATAATGAAGTAATTAAACGTGTGTTTTCTCTAACAGGCAACGGTCCTGGGTTCGAGTCCACCGCCACCCAGTACAAAAGAGAATCTCCACATGCTTGGCCCAAGAAATGAGTTTAGCCCGCACATAAGGGGGCGACACGAGATGTTTATTGCTTTCTTACACAATGTTAGATGTCATAATCGTGTTGTTGCCCCTTAAACAAAAAAAAATAACAGATTTATTTTTAAGGTAGAAGAGGCACTAATGTGCAAGGAAACTGCATAACATATAATGCCACAGCTATGAAGCTGGACAAGCTCTCCAATTCCTTTTTACACATTCTTCATTGTACCAAAAGAGAAGTATGTCGCTTAATAGGTTGTATAGCCTCTAATCGACTTTCTTTTTTTTGAGAAGGAGCCTCTAAATCTATTTATCTTTGTTAATTGACTTTCTCACATGGAAATATGCTAGTTTGCAGTTTAAAGTTTCATGATATTATATTACAGTTGATCTTTTGCTAAATTGAACAATTTTTCTTTCATTTCTCCTTTTGTTTTCCTGGTTTCTTTAATTCAGAAAGGCTTGAGTTTCAGTTGAATAAGACATGCACTTTCTATGGAATATGGTGAACTCAACCCCCCCCCCCCCCCCCCCCCTCCAACAAAAAAACACCCTACCTCGGAAGCCATCAGTGGTCGTTCTTCCCCACTTTGCTCCACTAGTGACTCAACACCCAACCTTATGGTTGGAGGCGAAGATCTCTCCCACTAGGTTATCCCTCCTTTGTCAAGACATGCACCTTAATTACTAAGCTTTATGATAAAAAATGCGACCAGTAACCACAAAGCTTATACGTGACTTAATTAGAGATAAATGAAATTTTTTTTACGACTTCCATGACATGATTACTTAAATTTGATTCTCAAGGCCCATGACCATACCCATTGAACATATTTAGCCACATAAAAGCATCAACGAGCACGAAATTACTGCCTTAAGCGAAAAGCTGAAAAAGATTGAACTAACTTCAGAAAACTAGCTAGAACATAAGTGACATATGAGATTAAAGCTGAGATTGAGCTCAATCAGAAAACTGGGCCGAAGAGAAGCATTTCTTTTCTAACAAAATCTAGTTAAGGTTCAGCAAAAATTTGACCAAAAGTTTCTTAAAAGCTAAACCATTCAATTACCATAACATTGACCACAAAAACTCAGAACATAGAGAACAATTAGTTTGAACTTCACTCAAGAAAATTTTCCTTTAGATCACGAAATGGCATCCAAAAATGAAGCTAAGACAAGTTGGCTGCAAAGCTCAAATAAATCAATCATCATACCTAGATCCCAAACTTGAAACTTTATATTGTTATACTGCACCGTCTCAACATTAAATCCAATTGCTGCATCGTGAAAATAGAAAAAAACATAAATCAATAAAACCATCCATTACAAAACAAAAGAGAGAGATACAAAAAGAAAAAAAAATCCTCTCTTCACTTAAAATGTGTGAGTAAATGCAATGAAGTGATAGCTCAATGATTAATGTGGAGGTTGAGGTTCAAATTCAATGGATGTATGGGTTTGCTTCCAATCTAAATCTTGATGTTCTCCTTACTAGTGTGTGTTAGGCGGTAGCAATGATTTTAAAAGCAAAAAGCACAAAAAAGGAACATGGTCCATGGGACTTGAAGTGAAAAGCGAGAATTTGAAGTGAAGGGCACAATACATGACATTAAAAACAATATTAAAAGCATATATGAATTTAGTCCTGTTACCTTACTCAAAAAAGCATATATGAATTTAGTCCTGTTACCTTACTCAAAAAAGCATATATGAATTTAGTCCTGTTACCTTACTCAAAAAAGCATATATGAATTTAGTCCTGTTACCTTACTCAAAAAAGCATATATGAATTTAGTACTATACTGATCAAATTGCAATTAAAATAACTAATTTCAGTACTCAACATGCAATAATGTTGATATTTGTCCAAGTTTTTGAAGTTGCTATTAAAAGAAGTGACTGCTTCTCGTGATTACTTTCTGCACCATTCTTTTAGCAGTCACACTTCCATAAAGTGCATAGCTTCACCCACGAAGCGATAAGCCATCCGCTCACATCACTTCATTAGTTTAAGTGACAAAGGGATAACGTTTACTAATGATACTAGGGGTGAACATTTCCAACCCGTATATGGCACATAAATTTCTGTAAATACGATTCTACCTCATCACAAAAAAAAAAGAAAAAAGATCACAAAATTGTGGCCACCATAATTTCATATTCACTAGAAAAAGGCCTAAATTTGACTTGGCATTAGTAATAATTCCTCTTCCTCCAAAATGGTCGTCCGTTTCTCTTTCAAGACTTAAAATAAGTGGTCTTTTTAACTAATATTCTTAAAAATGAAATCTTAGGTCATTGGTATAAGAAAAATGGCAACTTATTCAAACTCTTGTATAGATTTGAATATCATATTTTTTTATGAAATTTTTTTATTAAAGGTGGTAGTCGGGCGAGCTTGCCGACACCTCGACTATACCACCAAATACCTATGCACCTCGACTATTCCACCAAGTTGGTCTTGCTACCTCCATCTGCACATGTACCGGACAACTTTGCCCACCAAAGCTAAGTATTTTTTGCCTCCACTAAGATTTGAACTGAGACATCATGGATCTCCTCTCACTTTATTGACCACTAGACCACGCCCAAGTGCTAGAATATATTATTTCTTTTCAAGTAGGATTAATTTATACTTGGTTTAGTTTGAAAATTTTGGTAAGATTGATCAAAACACAAAGGGAACAAACAAATTTAGAGGAAGAGTGACATAAGTAACCATTCACTTAACTAAAAGGGATCTTTACACAAATAGCCGGCCGGATTCACTGTTTACTTTTTGTAGCTGGTATACATAGATTTATTACATGATTACACACATTATACATGGATTATACATATATTATACACTGAGTAGCCGTATGCTATTTTGGGTTTAAGCTGTTGGATGGGCGGATATTTAAGTTAATTCTTCTAACTAAAATATGAAAGAAAAGATTATGAAATAAGAAAGAATACTAACTTGGAATAGTGGAAACTACTTCACCCATCTGAAGCCGATCTGCATATTACCCCAAAACAATTAAACATCATATTAATCAATTTTTTTAAAAAAAAAAAACAGAATCCAAATCACAAAAGGAGCAAAAGGGTATAAAGAAAAAACTAATAAATCATACAGAGAATGGTAGTTTTGCCAGCATTGTCGAGTCCAAGAACTAAGATCCGAGCTTCCTTATTCCCAAATAACGATGAAAACAATCGCGAAAACACTAATCCCATTTGCCCCCCTTTTGCTTTGCTTGCTTCTGTGTGTACAAAATCAATTAAAGATCAGATCTTGCAAAGAAAACACAATTAGCAAAATTTAAAATGTAGTGAATATTTAGACAAGAATATTGAGATACAGTAAAGGCGAAAAGGGGAAAATTCAGATTTGTGATTGAAAGTGAATTACCAGGAGAAAGCTCAAGGGTCTGCTTGGGGATTTGTTTAGTTTTGGGGTTAAGTAGCGGAGAAATAAGTGAGAATGGAATAGACATCGGTGTTTGAAAACTAAGGTTCTTTTACATACACACACACAAAAAAATAAATAAATAAATAAATAAAAAGTTATGGGAGGATTAATAATATAAGATTGTAACATATAGATTAATGGACAGTCTGATGCACAAAATATTTCGTATTCATATAAGGTCCGAGTAAGGGCCGCACTCCTAAGGGTGTGATGGAAATAGTCTACTCTAATACAAACATTAATGGCTGCTTCCACGGCTCGAACACGTGACCCAACTTTACTGTTGCTCCAAGACTCCCCTTCGTAACATAGAGATAAATGATGGATGAATTATAATATAGAGATTATTTTTTAAATAATATTTAATATAAAATATGAATTTACTTTTTAAAAATTATTTGATACATGAGGTTATTTTGGAAATTTAATTGTTTAAAATCATGTATTATTAAATTTAGCATTCAAATTTTACTTTATATTTCACATAAGTAATAAATAGATTGTTGCATAAGTTATGCAAGTAAACTAATACTCTCTCCTGTCCACAATAAGTGACCAATTTATCTTTTTATTTTGGTCCAAAATAAGTGTCCATTTATATAATAAAGAAAAAATTCAATTTTATTTTTTTAAAATTATCCTTATGTACGTATCCCTAAAAAGTCTTTTACTGCTCACATTAACTATGCTGCAACATTTAAATTAATGGTAGTTTAGTCACACTAACTATTGTTGTCTAGAATTTTATATTTCCTTAATGGTGTGCCCAAGACAAATTGGTCACTTATTGTGGATCGGAGAAAGTAATATTTATGCGGATAACAAAAAAGACAACTAAATGCTCGAACGTTAATGTTGAATTTTATGCCAGTTTTGAAAAAAATAACCAAAAACCCAATAACTATACTCTAAGGGGGAAGATTTGCGTCGTTTCTAAGAAAGAAAAATATTTTGAAGTATTATTTTATTGGGCTAAAACTAAGAAGAAAACCAATAACCATACTATTAGAGGTATGTTTATGTAACGTATAATATTAGTTTTAAGAGAAAACAAGAAGCCACAAATAATAAGTGTTTACCCTTAAAAACGGTAACAATTGAATTTATACGCGGTTTTAAGGATATATGGATTAATTCCATACAAGTGATTAATAACGTTAGATTAAGCAAATGAAAGATGTAATAAATGGCCAAACCAATGATAAGAGTGATCCCGAGCTCGGTAATAGCTCGACGAGGAACCTGCCTTCGGTGCCGAGCTTGCACTTGTGAAGAACTTATGAACAAAAATAAGAACTTTGAATAACTTGTAGAAACAGAGAGAATAAAAGTAAATTGCCTTGGTATGCGTGTTACAATGTGTTTTATGAACAATAAGCTTCCCCCTTTATATAGTAGGGAGTTTTACCCTAAGTACAATCCTAAGAAAGGTAAAAATTTAATGTTTCGTTAGTCGCTGATCTTTTACCGATACGGGCCGAGATTCACGCCATGATATCCGGTTGGGCACGGACATCACGACTCTTTGTTAGTCGTGTGCGGTTGTTTGGTAATGTTCTCCGAAGTTTTGAGGCTCGAATCGGACGTGGTCCTAATGCCCCCGAGGGCAGGTGTTTTTCTCGAGCCCCGATACGAAGGGCTCCTCGCTCTGACTCCGATTCTTTACGGTCACGTTCCTACTCCGTTTGCCTCACCGAGAAACTGGGGTACTCAGTGGGCTCGGTTTTACCCATATACAGATAGTCCCCTCGTTTCTCAGAGAGTAGGCTTGCCGGAATGATGGGAAACGACAGATGACTCAGGTTCCTTCCTTCGTACGTTACAACGAGGGAGCCAAAACACCCCTTCTGACTTCGGACACGTGTCGCTCATCTGCAGGTTTCCCCCGAATGCTAAGCGTCGGTTGTTTCCCTATAAAAGATTCCTCCATTTTTGTCTTTTTCTACTTTTCGACTAAATTACTACCTTCGAGCTTTCCAGTCATCATCAAACCTTATTTAAACCTTCATATCTTCATCCTTATTCTTTAATTTCCATAGTAATTCCCATATTTTTGCCTAGATTTTCTTTAAATCCTCATACTCTCTTCTTCATCTTCAAAACCCATTTTTCCAAAACTTTGCATTCTTTCTTCAAAATTTCAAACCTTCCTCCAGATAATAATGGCCAAAACATCGAAATACGTTCCTCAACAAGTTGCCTCTTCATCTTTTCAACCGACCACTGGTACTGAAGCGGTCGCCCCTGAAGTAGTTGCCCTCGAAACAGCTTCCCCCGATGTGGTTGCTAACGAACTGGCCCTCGAGCCTCCCTTAAAAGCGTTCATCCTCGGTGCTGCTCAACTGCAGACGACTTTAAAGTCGAGAAGCCCTCGCGAAACAGGACCGGGGCGAAGGAGTCTCGAGGTAAATATGCTCTGTGACTGAAGATGTTCTTCCCATAGTTCGAAAGGACTTCAATTGGGAGGTCAAGGACATAGTAGTCCCCGGGCCCGAGGACGCCGTTACTACCCACGTGGAGGGGTACTTAAGTGCTTACACTTACCCCTTCACACTGGACCCGGTGGACCCGATCGTTCTGGACTTTTGCAAGAGGTACGGGGTGTGCCTCGGGCAAATCCATCTGTCGTTGTGGAGGATCGTGATCCTCCTTCGCTACTTCGTGAACAAGACCGAGTCTCGTCGGTTCACGATCGACCGCCTGCTTCGGTTATACAGTCCCCAAATATTCCGAGGGGGACTAATCAAGCTTACTCGTCGGGCCTGCAAGACTCCCTTTTCAAGTATCGATGAA